GTCACCGAGACCACCGTCTTCGTCAGAAGCGCCACGCCCCCCGATACGTCCAGGGGCCCGTCGCCTGTGGACTGCCCTGGCGCCCGCAGCCCGTGGTAGCCGAGGTCCTTCACCTGGTTCTGCAGCGAGCTGAGCCTGCCCCCCACTCGCCCTGTGCCCCTGCGCGGCGAACGCGCCCCCCACGGGCTTGTCCGCCAACTACTCTGCCAGACCACGGCCGTATGACACATTCACTGTGGTCAGCACCCCTTTGGCAGTGCCCAAACTGCCACTCGTCTCTTCATTCTTGGAAGCCTCCATCATGATGCATGTAATCGCCAGTACCATCATCAGCTCCCATACATTAGTAAGCCCTGTAGGCCCACTTGGACGCCGCCGACGCCATCTTCTGCGCCATCGCACGGAGTTCTGCCTCCTCGCTGGGGACGTCCAGTTCTGCTGCCTCGAAGCTGGTCCTGAGCTGGTCGATCGGCACGCTGTCCGCCTCAAGCTTGATCCGCTTGGGGTCTGGCTCGCTGCTGCCGCTCGCACTACCAGGAACCCCTTCACGAGCAGTGCGCACCACACCAGCACGCTTGAACACCTTCCCTTCCAGCTTCGGATGTTGCAGCAGCCGCTCCGCCACGTCCCCAGAGGCCCCCAGCTCCTGCAGCAGCGCGCACACGCCCTCCAGGTTGAGTGTCGGCCCTTCAGCCACAGGGGTGTCTTTTTCGTCGGGCGGCATGGGCATCTGCGCCGTGAGCTCGCACAACTTCTGCTCCAGCTCGACGGGCTCCACGCGCAGCGCCTTCGCCTTGGCCTTCTCCATTTCGAGGACCAGCTTTGCTGCCTCGATCACCTCCTCGGCCTTGGCGACCACCCTGTCCTGCTTCTCGATGGCCCCCTGCTTCGAATTGCGCTTTCGCTGCAGGCCGAGGAGTTGGGTGAACAGAGGCTTCTTGGCACGCATCTCCTCCATCTTCGCTTGCTTTTGTGCCTCCAACCTCTCGATGGTGTCCAGCACGTCTTGCACTGGCGACTCGAACGCCCGCATCGCACGCAGCTGGACGTCCAGGTTCTCCAGCTCCTTCCGATGCTTATCATACTCCTCTTCATCACCTCCTTCACCAGTAGGCTTCGCCCCTTCAGCAGGGCGTCCCACTTTAGCCGCAGCACGTAGACTCTTGAGCTCCTCTCGCAAGCGAGCCACCTCCTTCTGCATCGCCGTCGAGTTCCCGCCTCCTGCACCGTTCCCGCCAGCAGCCGCAGGGCTGCTCTGCTGACGGTGCCGCGCCAGTCCCTCCTCCCCACGGACATGGCCGAGGAACACCTTGCTCTTCTCCCCGCCGCAGAAGAAGCAGCTGCGCTTACTCCCGAACGTGATGCACGGCATGCCCACTCTCGCCCCCCTCTCGTACTTGCAGCACTTGCAGTACCAGTCGGGCGTGAGCGCGCCGCCCCCGCTGCCACCCCCACGGCCTCCAGGCGCCGTGGACCCCCGCCTACCCACAAGGGCAGCGAGGCCAGCCACAAAGCGAAGAGGGCCGCGCGGGGCACGAACCCTGGACCAGGGCGGACTGGTCGGGTCAAGAAAAAGCCGGGGTCTAGCCGCGGACTAGCGGTATCCACGTGTTCCCCTGTGGAACAAAGCATCTTCAGCCAAAGTGGCTACGGAGAGGAGGAGGAGGAGGAGGAAGAGGAGGAGGAGGAGGAGGAGGCCGACTCGAAGGTCCGCGCGGACTTCTTGGATTGAGGCTGAAACCCAATGGCGCGCCAGGGGCGGTGCCGGAGGCACCGCCGGGAGGCGGGAGGGGCGGCGGGGCGGGCGGCGGGCCAGAGCGCGGCTCGTGACGAGACACGGTCACGACCAGCACTCCCAAACTGCATCAACACGCTGGCCAGCGTGGGGCCCAAAGCAAGGGCGGAGGCGTGCTCCAGATCCTTCAGTCAGCACCCCCCCCCCGTGCCACCCCGTCCGACGCCCCTCGCCCGCCTCCCCACGCGCCCCAAACCCGCCCCCTCTCGCTCCCCAACCTCCCCACGCCCCCTGGAGGACAGCGCTTCCCCCCCCCCCCCCCTCAAACGCGATCCACCCCCTACGCTTCTTGAGAGACCTGGAGTAAGCTGTGCGGTTCACGCCGCGTGGCGTGCGCCACGAGGTTCCCTATGCGCGGTGCGCGCCGAGAGGCGGCCGAGAGGCCGAGAGAATAAGAGGAGCAGGAGGGGGGAGGAGGAGGAGGAGGAGGAGGAGGAGGAGGAGGAGGAGGAGGAGGAGGAGGAGGAGGAGGAGGAGGAGGAGGAGGGAGGAGGAGGAGGGAGGAGGAGGAGGAGGAGGAGGAGGCCACGCGAAAAAGCGGCGGCCACGGGGCCGCCGCGCGCGGCCACGTGGAGCCGATCCAGCTCCTTGGCGGCAGCTCGCTTCTCGCCATCGCCCGGACGTCCATTCCCCGTGCATGCTTCGATCGCGTGCGTGCTTTTTTGTTCGCAAGGTGGTGACCCAAGATGCTCCTCGATGCTGCTCGCCGAAAAGGTCACACGCCCGAGCGGTGCCAAGGGGAGCTTTTCGTATTCGGCGTTTCGGCATCAGGCCCAAGGCGGGGGGAGGGGGGTCTGCCTCCAGACCTCAGCTTCATGCGACTGTCTGCAACAGCGCATCCTACGGGGAAGACTCAACCTGCTTCAGCAGGCGCCAAAAAGCAGCCAGCATCTGCTCCAGGGGGGGAGAGAGGGGGTGCGAGGTGCCGCACCGATCGGCAAAGCAAGGAATGATAGAACGATCACAAGGCATCAAATAAGAATACCCTAGGGCTCCCAACTTCGCGCTTCGCGCTGCGCGAAGCGCGAATAACTTCGCGCCCTCGCGCCGCCCTCCCAAAGGGAGAAGAGGAGGACGAGGAGGAGAAGGAGAAGGAACGAGGACCGCGAAGCGCGAAGCGCGAATAACTTCGCGCCCTCGAGGGAGCCCTTGGTGCAAGCACTGTGTGGGCAAAGAGCCGTCCGAGGTCCGCGCGGAGAACTCTTTTGGGTCGGCGCTGAGTTTTCCCTCTCCGGCAGCGCATCCCGAGACGTCCGGCGATGCCCTCGGCGCCATCCGCTGGGAACGGGGCCCTTGGCGTCGATCCGAGAAGTCCGTGCGCATCTCCATATACAGACACCCTCCGACAAACATTGCGCACACTTTCAGGAAGAGTGGCGGCGTATAACATCGGTGGCTCACAATGGTGATATATATATATATATATATATACAAATATATACATATATATATATATATACACACCGCCACCCTCCCGTGAGACCCAGGAACAATCCTTTGGAGGATGTTTGTGTATATATGTATATACACATAATGAAAGCCACTTTGGGAAAGCGACCCAACGGAGTCGGGGATCTACTGACCCGGGTCAATCCAGACCAGGACCGGTCAGGCTTTGCAGAACCCTGCAGGATCCTGCGCACAAGCCCAGGCCAATGCGACCCTGGCTCTGGTGAGCGTTTTTTTATTCGGCGTTTCGACAGTGGGCGAAAGGGGGGGGGAGGGGGGGGGTCTGGCTCCAGACCTCTGCTTGGTGCGGCTGTTTGCACCAGTGCGTCCATTACGGGGGAGTCAAGAACAGGCAGGATCTACTCCGTGGGCGGGGGGGAGTGGGGGTGCGAGGGCCCGCGCCGATCGGCAAAATAATGAATATCGGCGGCGACGATAGGGGCGAATAACACAGGGGCGGGCGTTACACGTATTCGCCTGGCAGCCTTGTCGAAGACATGAATCATCGGTGCCCCTGGATACATGTATTGCTCTCCCCTGGGCTATGCGCCCCTATCGTCGACTCTGAGAACAAAAAAACCATCACCTGCAGGATCCTGCAAGATCCGGCGCTCTGGCGGACCTCCATCTGCATGGACCCCCGTGCCTTGAGCCCGTCCAGGAGCTGCACGGGTGGCTGGCTGGGAGCGGGGGGTGCCCGCTCGGGGGCGACCACCACGAGATTTAGGTCGGGCATGCTCCCCTACAGGCGGATCTTGGGCGAACAAGTAAAATAGTCAAACAAATAGTCCAAAAGTGTCAAACAGATAAGGAAATCGTCCCCAGTATTTTCTGACCATCTTTGAATATTCCTCCTGTAGAGGGGCGTTTCCGACTTAAGACTAGTCGGTCCCCTGGTCGGCCCGCTGGAGACAGGAGTCTAGCGCTGACCAAGGATACCCGTGCGCACCTCCGAATATATATATATATACATACATACACATATATATATATATATATATATATATATATGCGTGTACATGTATATATATATATACATGCGTGTGTGTGTGCGTGTGTGTACGTGTGTGTGCGTGTGTGTGTGTGCGTGTGTGTGTGTGTGTGTGTGTGTGTGCGTGCGTGCGTGTGCGTGCGTGCGTGCGTGCGTGCGTGCGTGCGTGCGTGCGTGCGTGCGTGCGTGCGTGCGTGCGTGCGTGCGTGCGTGCGTGCGTGCGTGCGTGCGTGCGTGCGTGCGTGCGTGCGTGCGTGCGTGTGTGTGTGTGTGTGTGTGTGTGCGTGTTTGTGTGTGTGCATGTCTGGCTGGGCTCCGTGAAATTTGGTCGAGGGGGGAGATGTACGAGGTAAATCCGCTCAGGATCTGCCTCTGGACCCCTCCTGGATCCCATCTGGTGCAATTGTTTCACCCTGGACCCGTTTTTGGATAGTCGGGGCCCGAAAATGGCAACCCGAGACAACAACACAAATAATAACCATCTCGAACCCAACACCTGTAAATACCCCCGCCTTCCTGCTGGCCGAAAAACCGGTGCTGGGCCACCTCAGACCCCCAGCCCAGATCCCTGTCCCCGTAGGCGTGGCCTGGGCCCCACTGGCCGACTCACCCCCCCTGGTTGGGGATGTGGGCTGCTCCATTCGAATTTCAAGGGGCATATCCCCAACCGGGGTGGTGGGGTGGTGGGGAGCAGGATGGGGATGGAGATGGGGATAGGGATCGGAGAAGCGATGCTGATCCACTGTGTATGCCCTTCCCTGGGGCCTCAGCAGCAGCTGGCACGGCGCGTCCTCCCTCGACAGCAGGCCCGCTGGGGCCACCAGCAGCAGCCGCCGGACCCGCTGCGGCCAGCGGCTCGCGAACTCCACGGCCACGAGGCCGCCCATGCTGAAGCCCAGCAGCAGGACGGGCTCCTGGGAGCCCACCAGCGCGTCCAGCAGCGAGGCCAGCTGCTCGGCGTACCCGCGGTGGTCCAGCAGCCCCCGCGGCGCCGCGCTGAGCCCGAAGCCGTAGAGGTCGAAGGCGAGCACCCGGAAGCCGAACGCCACGAGCTGCGGCTCGAGGGAGGCGAAGGTGGACAGCGACCCGTGCAGGCCGTGGACGCAAGCCACGAGCGGCGCCCCCGCGGGCCCGCGCAGCGTGTAGTTGACCCGCCCGCGCGGCAGCTGCGCCAGCTCGCCTCCGACGAGGGGGGGAGGCAGCGGCGGGAGCCTCCGATAGGGGAAGGCGGCGCCGGGGCCGGGACGGGGAGGGGAGGAGAGGGGAGGCCGAAGCAATCAGCGTCGGGACGGGAACCCGCACGGGAACGCACGTCGGATCGGGCCGCATCGGCGCTGCCTCGGAGTGGAATCGAATCGGCCGCGCAAGTATGGCATACACTCAACGGGCCGCATCGGATCGTCAGGAAATCGGCACCGGAGCGGATCGGGCCAGCCAAAGCCGATATCGTATCGTGTCGGCCAGGCCGAAGAGGACGCTGCAGGGTTGGGGAGATGAGGAGAGGGGAGCGAAGGGGGATGGGATGGGAAGAGGAGAGGGTCAGCAGAAGCAGAAGCAGAAAGTCCTACCATAGAATGGCCCGCGAAGGGCAGGACCGACCAATTATATGCTGCACGCGCGCTGCCCACTGTGCAAGCTCAGAACCGCGGCTCTCCCACTCAACTTTGTCCGCCGCCAGCAGCTGCCAGTCCCCCAGCTCAGCTCCACTTCACTACAACATCGTCTGGACACATCTTCGGATTTAATCCATCTGCGCCGGAGGGGTCGCAGTGGACGCCCAAAACCGAAGTCGGCCACGGCGGCTGTCCACTGAAAATCGCGCCGCGTGGTGACTGCATGTACCCAGGCTTCACGGCGAAAGTTCGACAACTTACCAGCCCATCGCCATTTTCGTTCGAAGGTCTCCTGCTCCCGGTCCCTTACAGCTGCATCCTGCGCCATGTCCTTCGCTTTGGAGGTTGCCCTCCTTATCCACCCTACCCAAGATTCATCCTCTCTGTTCCTGCCTCCGGCAATATGCCGAAGCATGCTGTGTTGAGCTGCCTTCAATCGCCGCAGCTGTGAGGAGAGGGTACGGGGATACCGAGAGAGGGCGGGGGAGAGGAGGCAATCAGGGTGCGCTCAACATGCTGTCCAACCCGCCGTATCCCCTCGATTGTTTTGTCCGTGTCTCTCCGCGGAACCGGGTGTAGAACCGAACAGTGCCCCCACATTACCGTTTGCACCGCTGACCCGTCGCGTGCTGAACGATTTGATGTTTAGAAGTATCCTGCTCGTGTGAACTACTTTGTGGATCCCTGGAGATCGCGCGTGTCGAAAGAGGGCGGGAAAAACAGTCGGATCGGACACCATCGGCACGGAGCCGGAATCCGATCGCGCAGCGCCATGCAGACATCGGGCAGCATCGCATCGTCGCCGCATCGGCATCGAACCGGATCGGGCCGGCCAGAACCGAACTTGCCCCTGGAGCTCTTCGGGAGCGGCGAAAGGGGGGGTGTCCGAGCCGACGGCTGCCCCTGCCCGGGCCTCGGATGAACGGGCAGGGCCTCGGACGCGAGGGGGACGAGGACGGCGTCGCGGCTGCGTCTGCGCCTGCGCGGGGTCGGGCGCGCTGAAGAGGACACATGGGGATACCCCATTGGCCTGGCAGCCATGGTATGCAGGGCGGGCGCAGCTGGGAAGGGGAAACTTAGGGAAATCAGAGCCCAGAGAAGGTTGCCTATGGTTGCTCAGCGTTTTCCATCCTAGATCGTGAGGTGGTTTTGCATATGTTGTTTCTTCGTTTGAAGTATGATCATTCTCATTGTGTCCGACATCCCCACGCGGGAGCGAGCACCTCAACCTCTCTCCCTGTTCCAGGCCTCACACTCATCATCACCATCACACCATGATTAAGACTACCTATACGACCGCCGTGCGGGCGATAAGGAGGTTGGGGGGGATTGAGATCAAATGCCCACCCTGACTGACCTCCAGCCTGTCACCTTGATCTCATCTCTCTCTTTCTCGAATTCAAAAATGAATTATAAAATTTGCGACATGCGTTAGCGCCAGGACGCCCGGGACACCTGGAACACCGCCCAGCCCAGCTGGGACACCTCCTGGCCACCGGCGGACGGGAAACGGACTTTCGCTCCTACTGACACCTGGGACACCCGGGACACCGCCCGGCCCAACTGGAACACCTCCCGGCCAGAGGCGGACGGGAAACGGACTTTCGCTCCTACTTCGGCCTAACTACAGGAGGATCACGCGCAGCTTCGCCTCGCCCGCACGACACGAACACGAAACCGAAACCGATTTCCCGGTGGGGGGTCTCCGTTTCACTGGGATCTCACCCCCCAACCTCCGATCACCATCCCACCATGGTCATCTGTCATCATCAGCTCCACGCCATGCTCTCGCAATCAACATCACGCTCATCATCAGCATACCACCATCATCACCATTACCATCCCGCCAAAATTATCATCGATCACGGTCTCGAACGGGGGGCCTCGCCTCTGAATGAATCGATTGGAAGTCTCGAGCGCGAACCCCCTCCCAATGGAGCTCGCGCTTGATGTTACTAACCCGAACGGGGTCATCCGAAACCTGTAACTGTCGTCACTTTCGCGCCCCTGAAGCTTCAATCTTAGGGAACTCTGAAGAAGGTGCTGTGTCTGTGATCATGCTACTAATCCGAACGGGGTCATCCGAAACGCGTAAGTGTCGCGACTCTTGGGCCCCTCAGGCTCGAATCTTGAGAAAGTCTTTGGCGGGGCCTTTCCGTGTTAGTGGAATGCGATAAATAATCTCAGTCCAGACCCCCTTCCTTGTGGGAGCCGCGATTCACGTTTTCATTCTCAGGGCGTCCCTCGAAACAGAGGGTCTCGGGCGGGGGCCTTGTCTGTGAATCGCAGGGAAGACTCAGGCGGGAGGTCCCTCCCCATGGGGCCCGTACTTCACGTTCTCAATCCCATTGGGTCCTTCGAAATTTGCACCTGTCGTCACTTTCGGGGTCCTGAAACTTGAAGATTGGAAAAAACTTAGGCGGGGACCTTGTCTGTGAGTGAATTCCGAAGGAGTCTCAGGTGGCCCCCCCGTCCGTATGGGGCCCGCACCCCACGTTCAGAATCCCAAGGGGAGTTGCGAAAGCGAAGGCAGCCGTCATTTGTGAGCTCCTGAGGATTGAATATGGAGGAAATCTTGAGCTGGACCCTCGTCCGTGAATGATTTGCGAGAAAGTCTCGAGCAGGACTCCCCTGCCTATGGAGACAACACCTCTCCAAATGAATCCCAAGGATGGGACGGACAGGAGGCGAATATGATTCTAGGCGCTTCGCGTAAGCCCGCCAGCCCATCCAGACGATGCCAAGACGAGTTGCCCTAATCTGGGATGTGGACGAGCATGCAGTGGAATGAAGGGCTGGGTACGACGTCGTACCCAAAGAGGGAGGAGGATGGAGGAACCGGAGGGGGACGAGGATGGAGGGAAGGAGGGAGGAGGAAGGAGGAAAAGGCAGATGAGAAGAGCAGGAGGTAGAGGAGGAGAAGAAGGAGGAGGAAGAGGAGAAGGAGGAGCAGCACCAGAAAGGCCAGAAGCCTCTTGGATACTTCTTGGAATCCTCTTGGGCTGTCTTGGGGTTCCCGTGGCAATCCCAGGTGACTTTTGGGGCGTTTTGGGTGCCTCTGGGGAGCCTCTTGGGCGACTCTTGAGAGCCTCTTTGGGCCCTCCTGGGGGCTCCTGTGCATAGTTCGGGGCCTTCTTGGGGCACCGTTGGGAGCCTCGGGGGCCATCTTGGGGCCCTCTTGGAGGAGATCGATCAGACGAGGGGCCGTGGCACGTTAGGACCGCCCCCCCAGGAGGCCAAAGTGTCGCCAAAACCTTCGCTCCCCGCCCCTGGCGCCTCAGAGAAGCAATGCCAAGCAATGCCAAGCAATGAGAAGCAATGCCAAGCAATGCCAAGTATTGTCAGGATGCCAAGCGTTGCCAAGCGTTGCCAAGCGTTGCCAAGCAATGCCAAGCAAGGCGAAGCAAGGTCAAGCAATGCCTAGCAGTGCCAAACCCCAGGTTCCCCAAATTCCCCGCCCCCCGTACCTCATGCCAACCAATGCCAAACAATGCCACGGAATGCGGCCATACAATAAGAAGCACTCCCCGAATTGGGATCGCGCCGGGTTCATCTTGGGCGGTTCGAGAGGTGGCACGGTGTATATTCGTCGCCCAATATGGATCCACTTAGGCCTTGCCTAAGGGGTTAGTACCTGCTTGTGAGGTTTTTCGGTGGGTGGGAGGCATGCCTGGCCGGCTTTCCTTGGGGCTCCCTGTTTTTTTTTGCCTCTGGCTTCCTCCATTTGGGTTCGTTTCAGTGGCCATCCCCAGGGTTCCTTGGTCATTCCTCAGGCTGCCTTTGCATTGTTTCCCCACGGTGGCCTTCCTCGAGGTTCCTTGGTTTTGGCTCTTTGGTTACCTGGTCTTGGTTCCTTGCAAGGCCCATCCTCGGGTTCCTCGGTCTGGGCTCTTTGGCTTCTTGGTATGGGCCCCTTGGTTCTTTGGTTTTGGTTTTCTGGGCCCGTGGTCTCGGTTCCTCAATTCCTGGGTTTGCTGGTCCCTTGGATCATGGGTACCTTGGCTCCTCTGTTCATTGGTCTCAGTGCTCCCTGGTCTTGGCTCCTCACTGCCCCACAGACGCATCGCCGCGCAGTGCCAAACACCGTGCCCAGCAATCTGCCAAGCCTTCTGCCAAGCATGACACGCGCAGCAACATGCCAGTTCGCCCACTAAGTGCGCACATGGCAACAGGACACTTTCCCCCGATGTGCCCTGGCCGAACTGCCCGCCCGCCCAAGGGCTGGCCATCGCGCCCGCGCGCGAAGCCGCCGGCCCGCCCCGCCTCCCCCTCTCCCAGCGTCCCTGGGAAACCACCGGGCGGGGGGGGAGGGAGGTAGGAGGGAGGCAGGAGGGGGGAGGGAGGGAGGAGAGGAGGAGGGATGGAGGGAGGAGGTCAAGGAGGAGGAGGAGGAGGTCAAGGAGAGGTCAAGGATGAGGATTTTTTTGACACGGCCATGACTGACACAACGTTGGTGCCAGTAAAAGAACCTTTGGCGGTGACTGCGCGGGACGGGCCGCGCGGACACAGAAGGCGCCAAAGGTCAGTCGGAGTCACCAGACTCCGCGGTGCTTACACGAGCAGCTTGCAAGGGAGCCGCGTCCTCCTCTGTGTGAATAAGCGTGCACACACGCCTCAACTGCTCTCGCTCGGACGCCTCACCCTCTTCGTGGGGAGTGGCGTCCTGCACTGCACCAGGCCCATCTTGTGGGGCAAAAAGAAAAGGTCCCTCGAGGTGGCCCGCAGCTCTGATGGTACCAGACGACGACGACAGGTCGACGACTTGATTTCTCTGCTGGCCACACTCCCGAGGGGGCTCCACAACAGGAGCCTGCTCGGCAAAATGCCTTGTCTGATGGACTTCTTCGCCCACCGCCTGCAAGTTCTCTGGAGACGCCTCAATCACGACTCCGTCGATCTCGGGATGGCGTCCCTTGAGCACTCGATACTTCCAACGCTCTAGATTGTTCCTCGATGGGGCCCTGCAAATCTTAGCGAGCAGCGCTAGGGGGCCCAACGTAGATATAGCTTTGCACCTCACACAGATGAACAGCTGAGATCGATCGCTGCAATCGAAACTCAACAACATGTGGCCTCTGGCGGCCACCTGTAGCAACGGCTCAGGCACCTTCCCCGTGCTACCTCCAGTTGACGGCGCATCGCTTTCTCCGAAAACGAAAACAGAGCTGGGCCTACGTATCCTGAGGCATACTGCACACCTCCAGTATGACAACTGCCATTCCCATTCGTGCTCAAAGGTCTCGGGGCCCGCGGGCTTCTGGCGGGGCTCTCTGGGGTTCAAGTGGACACCCGTGAGATCTAGGGCGGGCCACTTGGGCAGCAAACGGGCCGCCAGCCTACAAACCGCACTGGAAATCTTGACTTTCCTGTCAACTTCATCAAGCTCAGCCTTGGAGCCTGTGGGGTGAGCGAGCAATCCTTGACGTGCTGCACGATCTGCTGCGTCATTCCCGAATTTCTCCCAGCGCTGCCGGGCAGTTAGATCAGGACTGTCAGCCACATGTGCTTTTACTTTCCTAATAGCAGACAGGTGGCACGATTGGGCAAATAACATGGTGCCTGGATACATTTTCTTATACGAGAACCTGGCCTCAGGAGGAAGCGCGAAGGTGCTGACCACATTCGCGCAATCCGAGAAACCTTCCGAAGGGGCCTCCTAGGTTCTGTGAGACCATGGCGAGGGCCGCAAACTCTCCAGCTTGGGGGGTCTGGGGAAGCGGAGCCCAACTAGGCCCACACACCGAGCAGGTCTCCCGAGCGTCCTGGGTGATCTGTAAATAGCCCCAAGTGGCCCTGCTCAGCTCCTTGATAGGGTGTCTGGTACAGGACCCGTCCATGAAGATATATCCCCTGACCTGGCCAGGATCTACGACGTCCTCTGTTCCTTCAGGTGTGTGAGTGATAATGCCTCCTTGCTGTCGTGGGCGTGGTAGCACGTCTCCAGGGTGTTCAAACAGCCCCTTAGAGAAAAGCAGCATTTCCTTAGCGTCCGATCGATCGATACTTCTAGCAT